TGTCTCACAGCAAGAGTGTCTGTCTGTCTCTCTCTCTCTCTCTCTCTCTCTCTCTCTCTCTCTCTCTCTCTCTTTTTCTTTTCTTGTCTTTTTGAGACAGGGCCTTGCTATGCAGTTTGGGCTGGCCTTGACCTCACTTTCTAGTGCATGCTGGTCTCAAACTTGCAACAATCCTGCCTCAGCCTTCTGAGTGCTGGGATTACAGATGAGTGCCACCCACTCCTGGCCTAATCACACTTTTTATTATGACCCATATACTTGAATGATTATGGACATAAATTTATTTCACTGTGATTACTGGCAGTAGTCTCCTGTGGCTACTCTAACTAACTCAGCAGTTTAAACAACAGAGGGTGTTTTCCTACAGTCCCAAAATCCAGAAGTTCAAAGTCAGCAGCTGAGATCAAGATGTCAGGCAGGGCCTGACAGCTCCATAATCTCTCCTGCCAAATACTGCACTCTTCCAGCTCAGCTGGCTGCCAGCATTCCTCGGCCTGGGGCCACAGAACTCCAGCTCTTTCTTGAGGATCACACTGCTTTTTCCTGTTCTGTTTCAAATAACCCTCTGCCTCTCCCCCATAAAGACACTTGTGGGTGCAGTAGGGGTGATCCAGGAACCTTCCCCTTTTAAACTCTGCAACCTAATTACATCAGAAAAGATACAACATTTATAGGTTCTAGGAATTCACACTTGATATATTTGAGTAGCCATGCGTCAGCATATTACCGGCATTCTCTGCTTTTGAACTGTATTATGTCATTTATATTTGCTATTGAAAATTAGAATATATAGATAAGCAAAAGAAGATGGCTTTATGTTTCCTGTGATCTTACACCCACCATTACTATTTAGGTGCTTTTTTTTTGCAGATTTTTTTTTAATGTACATTTACACATAGGTTTTATTAAAATTTATCAATCCCTTGACCTCATTTCAGAGAACCTTACCATGTAAGTTGGGTGACATACCCTTAGAAAACCTGGAATGTACAAATTTATTTGAAGGCAAAGTTAGACATGTCTCTCTATCCAGTAGGTTGATATCACAATTCATATTCATTCTCTTCAGGACTATTTTTTGGTGGTACCAGGGATCGAACTCAGGACCTTGCACTTGCCAGGCAAGCACCCCCCCCCCCCAATCCCATTTTAAACCCTCAGTCCTGGGCCAGGGAGATAGCTCAATGGAATAAGTATTTGCCTGGCAAGCGCAAGTCCTGAGTTCGATCCCTGGTACCACCAAAAACTAAAAAACCAAAAACCCTTCAGTCCTGCTAGACATATTCTATCATTGAGCCACAAGGGATCTGCTCTTTTTTTTTTTTTTTTTTCTATTTCAAAAAAACAGTATCTCACTAAGTCACCAAGTCAGGTCTTTGAGCTTGAACTTGTGATCCTCCTGCCTCTGCCTCCCAAGTAGCTGAGATTAAAGGCACACACAGCCACGTCCCTCCAGAATGCTCTTTTTGAAACAAGATATTATGTAACATTAAAGTTACAGGAAAAAAGAGTATGCAAAAATGCCTTTCACAAGAGAATGGCAGGGAGATTTCCTCATTCCTGGAGTTGAGAAAGCTGGCTTCCTGTATTCTGCGACCACAACTTTTTTACGATGGCATAGTCAATTTTGGAGGGTGATTATCTTTTTCTTAGTGCATGTTTGTACTACATAATGTTCCCGTGCCGTGTGTGGAGTTGGGACATGCCAGAACACATCTTACTGCCTTTCTTCATCCCCCCTCCTTCCCTTTCCTTCCCCTGTCTCTTGACCTTCTTCCCTTTTGAGAACTATCTTCTCCCTACTTCCTGCTATCAGTATTCTATCTCTAAAATTTTTTTTTATTTTTATTTTTTCTGTATTAGTACAGGGTATACACGGTGCTCAGGGTCTCACTATGTAGATTGGACTTGTAGTGATTCTCCTGTTT